GGAAGAAAATTAACTCTGTCCCAGCCGAAACCAGGACACTGGTGCACTTGTGTAACGGTTGGGATTGCTCTCACCAAATGTAGACATCTGTTGCAGAGTTGTCTATATCTGAGCAGGTCATCCCAGGCTCCCAGAAGTTGGCACTTCTGGGGCACAGTTCTCACCCTCAAATAGACAGCTAAAATAGGACTGATGAAGCCTGTCCGACAAGTGTCTATCTCTTTCCATTGACTGTACCAAGACCCTGGGGTTACTAAATCAGATGTTGACATAAAGGAGATGAATCCTACCTTATTTGCTTAAAAAATGCTGTAACTTGGAGGAGAAAAAAGCTTTAAGTGTGAGAAATAATTTGCAGCATGCTCATTTTAAGTGAACAATTACATATGGGATCATGTCTTATATAAAGGAATTTATTTTAAGAGTATGTTTTTAAGCAGTGTATATTCATGTGCATCCTGCCACAAGGGAATAATTTTGAACAGAATTAGGAGTTTTGTTTTATTTTTTTAATGAATGGCTGCAATCATAAGGCAGTTCATACTCTGCTTAAATTAGATTCCATTGCTGCATTTCTTCTATTATTTATCTACTAAATAAAAACCAAAATGAACAATCTAGTATAAAAATCTGATTTTCTAAGTGAACCTCTGATTGCTCAGAAAGAATCACTGCATTCTGGATAAAGAAAATTAATTCACAGTGAGTTACCTTATGCCAGTCACAGAGTAGTCAGCTCAAGAACAGAAAAGTTAGAAATGAAGGTGAAATAAGGAAAATTTAAAACTGTAGAGAAAAGATTTTATTTACGAATGTGCTCCTGTTGTGCATATATTACCCTCTAGCATTTTTTAATGTATCTTCTAATTATGTAATCAATGAAGATGCTGATGTTTACCAATGACAGAATTTTTTCCTGGTAGTACAGAGCCATGAATTAACTATAACAGGCCCACAGACTGCTGCAGCTCCCTTGCAGTATAGTATGTTGAAAACAGGTTTTCAGCATGTCCTTTTAAATGGGTTGAATCTATGTGGCAGAAGGATGGCATGTTTATGAACGTCCCTCACAGACACCAACTGTGCCTGATAGAAACAACAAAAGGAGGAGTGTTTTCATTTCATATAGACTATATGGCAAAACAACACACCGCTGTTACTGGGGAGACATTAAAGCAAGAAAAAGGGAGAAAGGTTCTGTGCAGCTGATTTTCCTCATTCATCTCCGTGAAACATTTTTGCTCAGCTCTGCACACCGTTTCTTCACAGGTCACGGTGTACCTCTTCAGAGGTGCTTCTGTGTATCATTTCTCCCAACTTTGCTGTTCATGTCTTGACCTAGATTGAATGGGATAATTTACTCTAAATGGTACTTCAGTGTTGGGTGATAAATTATGTGTGATGATAATGATGTCTACAAGAAAAAAGAGGAACATTCAGCTGTAGTTACTCTCTACTCACAATCAGCTGCATCCTTGGTGTTAACAGGCTAGTGCCATCCGCAGGGTGACCTGACTGTACAGACTGTTGGAAATTGGATGCTAACGTTGCCAGAAGCCATTACAGGTTATTCTTATTGACTACTGTAATTATAATAAACATTACGTTCCAGGGATGAGTTCTTGGCTGTATTGGATCCGTGACATCCACCTCCCATGTATTTCACAGGCTGAAGATTTTACCCAAGCATGGAAAGCCTCATTCTAGTGCTTTCTTGCAGTGAAGAGGCTTTGCACGAGCCTTGTTGACATTTGGCTTTTCTGAGGCCCATATTCAGCCAACCTCACTCATCAGAGCCACTTAATGCATACCTGCCGTGTATGTATCCAGCAAAGCTAGGACATGGAGTCTAATCCAAGGGGACAATATGGAAAGAAAATATGCCTGACTGACTCTTCCTCCCCAGAGACAATTACTTAATGAATGATGATGATGAATCGTACATTACTGTAAAGTCACAACAGATACATCATCATACAAAGGGAGCGTGTTATGATGCTCTTATTTTGCAAATTTTTTCAGGGATCTTGGGTGAACATGCATATCCAGCTGTGGAGAGCAAATCCTATTGCTGTAGCTGAAAGCACGTTTCAGTTAATAAGATGCTAAAGATCAGGCAATGTAAAATCTATTCTTCACAGGCTGCGGGCAGAGAGCATGTCACTTATTCTCTCTGTACTTCCTTGCCTTTTAGGGAAGTGATTACTGATTAAGACTAAAAGCCCAAATCATCACTTAAGTATTAGTATTTCATTCTTTGCACATGGAAAGTAGAGTCTTGCAAACTATGCCCCACATTTCTGTATCCTATAACAGAGCTGGTTGGGTTTAACATTTTCCAATTTTCATTTTAAGTGTCTTTTGGTTATAACTATACTACTTCTCCTCACCATAACTGTATACCTTCTCCTATAGAAAGGTATACCTACCATCTAAAATATATATAAAGAAATCTAACCAACAGGGACTAGATGAGATGTTTAAAATGATTTGTTGGGAAATGGAAGTTTTATAGAATAAAGTCCTGGGGAAAAAAATGAGATTGAATTGCACAAAAATGGTTCACAGGAAGACACTCTGTTGCAATAACATTTTCTTGCAGTTCAGCCTAAATGGGACTTAAAAAGAAATGTGTCCTCTTAATCCTGATGAAGCCAGAAGTGTAATGGATGCTGTGCTAAGAGTCTTCTGAGGAAGCCGAGAGCACTGTCAGAGGAAAGAAGATTACTTGGGAAAGGAGTGCACAAAATCTAGCTACCAATTTTGGTGACCTTTCTGCAGAGAAATATAACTTTAGTTACCTGAATGGTAAACATAAAGCTGTAATCCAGGTGTTTGCCTGGATTCATCTGGACTCCTTTAAAAAAACCCATGTAAAACGAAACACAGACAAACCCAAAATATGAAACAAATACAGACACGTAATTTGTTCAAAGCAGTTCCTTGTAATTAATCAGTGCTTTGAGGAGAAATTGTTCAGCCTCGTCATTGTTCATTAATTAGGAATGTGATGTTAGTGAAATCTGTTGACAAAAGTGCAGCTGAGCCCAGGCTCCAAGACTGAGCTTTCGGCCAAGCAGATTAACGCAGACACATTTCATCTCCTCAGTGGGTCTGGTAACACGGAGGTCTCCTCACTCCTGCTGTAAGGTCATTCCATATCACTGAACAGCTTAAGGGAGACGTTGTGAAAGCAAGGAGACAGGCCACAGAGAAGGGAGGGGCTACTTTTTGTTGTGAGAAAGCTATTAAAATAAACAGAAGACAAGACTTGAAGGAAGATTTATGTAGCCTCACATAGCAGTATTGGCTTCCTACATCTGATAGAACAAAGGACCCAAAAGTTCCCCAAAATGATATACTGCAAGCAGGATTTATGGTGATTTTAATGTGACACAGAGCAGAAAATGTGTTCTCGGCAGGATATTTACGCTTGCAATTTAAAACCTGTGCTTTGATTGTTCTAGATGATAGCAAGTTTTCAGAGGCCATCACAGTGCTGCTTACCTGGATTGAGCGAGGCGAGGTGAATCGTCGCTCTGCAAACCAGTTTTATTCGATGGTGCAGTCAGCCAACAGCCACGTCCGCCGGCTCATGAATGAAAAGGCCGCTCATGAGCAAGAAATGGAGCAAGCCAAGGAGAGTTTCAAAAATGCCTTAACAGGGATCCTCACTCAATGTAAGTAACTCCTTTTTGTCCGGTGTTGTTGTAGTGATGGTGGTGGTGGTGGTAGTGGTTTTTTATCATTTTGTTTGTTTGTTTGGGGGTAAGTAGTTGCAATGCAGTCATATTCTACTTCATATCCTATTCCATACTCTATGGCAATTTGGAGGAACAAGGACCATTCCTAAGAGCTTATTTCTCAAGGTGAGCAAAGTTTCAGTAGTTTTTTATTAATAGGTGAAGACGTGCTCTATGCATAATGTCTACTGTTGTGTAGACATAACGCTTCAGGAACGGACCAGACAGAAGCCTCCCTGCTCTGAGCAAAGATCATGCTTTTGTGGAGAGAAGTGATATGTAGCCTGTGCGTTGCAGCTAGTTAACTAGGCCAATTACAGAATAGAGGACAATTAGGTTATATTTTTATCCTGGGTTTAGGCAAAAGGCAGTAGGATTCAGCAACTTTTAGGGATATATTCACTGCATACAGGCTGCCCCCACAGTAGAAGTATATGCTGTACTGCTGCTGGCATCAGGACTGCTTGGCTGATATAATGCCAGTATTAATTTGGCAGATAAACTGCCTTAAATATTTAGTGCTGGCAGCTATTTCCTTAGTACAGAAATACAATCAATGAAGTTACCTTAATGAGGTTCCCTCATAAAACAATAATTGGGATAGTTGCCTAGAAGTGTTCTTCAAAGGGAAGGGAGGAGAAGAAGAGAGGAGAAGAGAGGAGAAGAGAGGAGAAGAGAGGAGAAGAGAGGAGAAGAGAGGAGAAGAGAAGAGAAGAGAAGAGAAGAGAAGAGAAGAGAAGAGAAGAGAAGAGAAGAGAAGAGAGAAGAGAAGAGAGAAAAGATGAGAAGAAAGGAGAAAAAGAATAGAAGAAAAGAGAAAAAACCCTAATTTCATTGTTGCTGGTTTTTAACATGTCTACTTATGGCTGCTCAAGCAAGAGGCTTTATGACACTCAGAAGGGTGGAGCCTGAAGCCAGCTCTCATATGCAAGTTAAAACCAAAAACCAAGACAGTTTACCAGATGGAGGACAATGCAATTGTTACATTGTCATTTCTGAATCACCCCTAGTCTTTACATAAAAAAATAAGCGCTAAAGGCTTTTCTGCAATATTTTTCTGGTCCTTCAGTGGTCATCCTGCAGAAGCTAGGGCTGAAGGCAGAAGCTTGGATGGACTTGTCTGGGTTGGGAGAACAGCCTCTGGAAACTTCCTGCATATGTGATGGAGAGCTCAGCGTCTCAGAAGACAAATTCACCCCAGGCCACATGTCCTTCTAATTTAAGAGCTTAGATGCCTGAACTTAGTAAGAAAGATTGTGGGCCAAAGGCATTTGATTTCTGAGGATGTATGTTCAGTGAGTAAATTTTAAAGACCAGCTAATTCCCTTGGAAATTTGCTAGGCAATGTCATCTTCCATCTCAGCAACTAAAAGGCAGTGTGAGGAGCAGAGATTCAGGCACTACGCACGGCCGTGCTGTTCAATTCACACCAAGGCCTCTGTAGTTTTGTGTGCAACAGCCAATCCTAGCATTTAGAAATGCCTTCTTCAGCTGCATTAAAAAAAATCCCCCATTGTCAGCAGGCTGAACTTTAGTTAAATCAGTCTAAATTAGCCCGTTTGTCACCAACGGTTGTAGAACATCTGTCACTTGGAAATAGAGATCCCTGTAGTTTCAGGTGGAAATTTGCAGTTTTGGCTATCTGGTTTGTTCCTGTAATGTGCTGATGCTGAATTTACAAAAGCAGAAGTAGGACTGGCTTCAAAACATACGTTTCACAGTGCCACAGTCACAGAAATGCCTGGAAGAAGAGAGTTTCTGACAGGTCTGGCATAGGAAGACAAGGTCAGCAAATAAACAGGCTCAGGGAAAGGTGTTACACTCTGTGGATTTTATAAGAACAAATTTTATGAGCTTTCCAGATGCTCCACATTGGTTATTTTATAAACATCATAAACATTGGCCATTATTAGCATTAATGTGTCTTATTAAAATTCTCCGCAAACTTGCTACGAACAGATGGATGATGTTTTTGCTTTACACGTGTATATGCCTAAGATTGCTAAACATGGAGACTGTGAAATGAGCTTCCCTTTTTCAAGAATTGTCCTGTGTTTGAGTTGATCTGAGGAATGTTTCTCATACGTCCTTTCCATTGTTTTCCCACAGCCCTATATAATTGGTTACAATATGTCACTTGCTTTATGAAGAAGAATTTGAAAATAGTAGATGTCCAAAATAGGTGTGCGTGGTCTATTAAATTCTGCAGAGTGGCAAAAACAATTCTGCTGTTCTGCAGTAAGGATCCAAAAGTCTAGTGTAATGCTGCAGCTGTGTGGCCATTTGACATAAATATTACAGCATTTTTAAAATACCACGTGGCTTTCCTTTGTCATGAACTAAGTCAGATGTCCAACTCCAAGCTGACCATTCTGGGATTTCTTTGCAGTCAGCAGAGAAAAATAAGCATCTCCAGGGGATGAGTTATCAGACAGACCTTATAGCGCTCCTCCATTGAGATGAATCATCCCTTGGAGATGCCATTTTCTCTCTGCTGCCCGCAGAGGATTCGCAGGGGATCTAGCTCAAAATCAGATGTCCAACTTTTACATCCTTGCTCAGAGCAGTTTAATCCCACTGACTGCATGTAGTCTTGATACAGAAGGATGTAGCATAAGGGAAGAACTTGGATTTAGCTAAAAATGCCAGCATTTTAGCAGTGAATATTATGGGGAATGAAGAAGAAATATGTTAAGAAAATGGGCTTCAAGTGCACTCACCTGGAACACACACACTGTCTGTGTGGGTCTCAGTATCAAATGCTTTCTTATTAATGAGGATTAGTGTGGCCAGAACATTTCAGCTTATGGTGCAACTACTAAAGAAGTACAGGTATTGAAATTCCTGCTACAAATTTCTGCCTGGACGTATTTAGAAGATTACCAAGCGGATTACCCCTAAAAATTTGGGTCAAGTGTTCAGCACATGAATTAATTACCTGACCACGGTACTTGTGCCAAGATAATCAGTGAACTAAAGTGTATTACTGCTGTCACACCACCAATTTACAGCCCCTGATTTAAGTTCTACAGGGAGTCTTAGCCTTGTTATGCTGCTGCTTCAGTTATTTAAGGGATAAAGAGAGAAAAATGTCCACTTCCTTCTTTTTTATTAAATTACTTAGTTTTTCTAGATTTGAATCTGTGCTTAAAATATGTGTTGTTTTACAGGATTTTGGATAGTTCTGTCTTTGCAGTTTGATTTCTTAATTTTTCCACTTAGCTTCCACAGCGCAGTTACATGTGACACTGCTCCCTGACTTTGCATGCATCTCTGTTTCATTTCCTCCCAAACCACCTTTTCAGCCTAAGGCTTATAGATGTTGATCCTCATGTTTAAAAAAAATGGAAGCCCTAGAGACATCCACATTAGGCTGTTTTTTAGATTACACCAAAGCTGCAATTCTCTCCTCTTTCTCCTCCATGCACTGTAAATGCCGTCTACCTCTTATTGAGGTTTCAGACTATGTAGTGCACTGTCCCTTGACAACATTTTCAAAAGTGCCTATAGATGAGTGAGGATCCAAAATCCCATATTCAAAAATTAATTTGATATCTCAAGAGTCAGACACACAAGGGGGTGGAATTGTTCCAGTATGGAGGTAGATAGATACACAGTGTACTTAACAGAAGTGCCCCACGGCTGGGTACTGAGAAGATAATGACACTCACTTATTTGGTCATTTTTGTCAATTTTACTAATGGATGAATATTCAAGGGACTTAGGCAGCAGAACCCCATCATGGTCTACGAATCAGTCTCTCTCGTGCGTGTGGGGGAACAGTGGGAGGGTGCTTCTTATCATGGAGCCCCCTGGCCAGGTTACTTCCTTGTCATGTGGTAGCCTTCACTTTCACTCTCTCCTTGGCCTTCAGGGAATTTCAGTGCCTAGTGGTCAGGACGATCTTTTGGAAAGATATGTTTGAATACCCTGAATGCCAGTGAAGGAACTGAACCTAAGCCTCCCTCCTTCCAACAGTGCTCTAAATGGTGAGGTCTGGTGCTCTGAAAGGCAATATTGACCTTCTTTAGGGTGTCTGACAGATAGCTTTCAGGCACCTGATCCAGAACGATGCCAGCTGGAGGGAGGTGTCTCCCTGCCTCCCATAATATGGCACTGAACAGAGAGAACAGCTACATGCATCTATGGCACGTTCCCACCCAGGGGATGTGTACGCACAGTCCATCAGCTGGTTAAAGCGGTGGCCTTATATGCATTCCCAAGTGTGAAGCTCTTCCCCTGTACTTTGTAGGATGCCTGAGCTTTAACCCATCACAGTTGATTACAGATAATCACCAGGGACTTAGAACTTGTGTAAAAGGCCTGAGTATCAAAATGCAGGTCTGAGGGTGCAGATAGACACATGGTTCATCCTACAGGGCAAGCTGAAGTATAAACCTGTAGAGTCATTTATTCCAATGTAACTAATCACAGATGTGTCCTTACCTCCTGGTGGACGTAAGGTTGCTGAAAGGGAAGGCATTTCCCAGTGACCCGGAGATCCCTTTGTGCATTAGCTGGCATCAGGGGGAAGAGATGTGCTGCAGGTTCTCACCCTACCTTGGCAAGCAGTAATTAGCTCATTGACTCTCAGTAAGCAATTTTTGAAAACAGAACGTAGACCCCCTAAATCACTTAGACATGTTTAAAGTTTGCCATCCTGACTTTCATTCACAACAGCTAAATGACAACCCTACTTGTTGGCATTAGGCAAGCCAGTGGCAATCCAGTGTAGCAATCCCCAGCACTCAGTATTCAGGGCCAGTATATACCAGTAGGTAATCCTGATATTTCCAGGGGACCTTGTGGACAAGCTACATACTGACACTTTTTTTTTTTTCCCATTTCAGGTACTAAATATCATGCCATCATAATAAGCAGAAAAAGCAAAACTGTTACAAAGTTTAAGACAATTTATAAGCGACAGGATGTAATCT